GAGAGATCAATTGCTGCTACTTATGAAAACACATGCAAACAGACAAGACACAAGCAAATACACTGAAAAGCGATGAACACTCCCAGACACGGCTTGGAGACGCTGCACATACCTAAAAGATCTATTGGCAGAAATGGAATATAATATTCTACGGTATTTATCTCATAGGTATCATTAGCGTATAATCACCTGAAAATAAGAATTGTGTTTTCGTTACCTTAGAATGAGCCATTTTTATCTACATACGCCGCAGGCAGCCTTTTGTGGCGGCCACCACGTTGAACTGCCATATTTCTACAGTAGTCCAGAACAGACAAACGAAAAACTGGCTCAAGATATGGTCGTTGTCATTTTTTGTGTGTTTTGCAAGCACTGTAGTTGTGCCTCATCCTTGGAAAGGGAGGGTGAAGCGAGTTATAATTGGAAACTACACCACTAGATGCCACTAAATCCTACACAGTGGTCCTTTAAGTTGCAGTGCATTGAGATATCTGAGCCACCGTAGGAAGCACTTTTGGTGCTTTTGCATGGTTTAAGACGCTCTCAGTACTCTCGTAATTACAACTTTACTCTGCACTCTACCAACAGCAAAGTGAACCGATGCAAAAAGTGCAACACTGGATGCTTGTTTTTCAATGTAAACTCACACATCAGCTATGTTTTGATATGCATCATTGAAGGTTGACCTTCAGGGTTGATTGACTCTGATGCCTTGACTAATTTTCTTCTTTTTGTATGATGCATTTGACAGGGTTCAAATGTTGGTGAAAGTTTAATAAGGTAGATCGTTTCTCTCACATTCTGGTTTTATTCCTCTGGTGGTAAATATCTACTGTTCTATTTTTTTTCCTATCACTTAGTTCTCCCACACTTTGCTGTTCTTTAACTATTATCGAAATCCAGACCTACTATTGCTCAACTAACCACCTGCCCCCACCGTGACCTCCTGGATGTCCAACTGAGAGTTTCCATCATTCACTGCTGGTTTTATACTTTCTTTGTAAGTCTAATTTGCTTGATTTATGGGTATATTAGCTGCACATTTAGCTGTAGTGTTTGTCTGTTTCACTTTGATTCCAAAATTAAGCCTCAGTATTCATATTGTTTCTCATAATTGTTTTTTGAAGTTTCCAGAAAAGACCCTGAAGCAAGCCCAAGGTCTCACAGCTTCCCATTACATATTATGTGCTATCATATCATTACAGAAAGAACAGATGTCACGTTTTTCAAATTATAGACATCATTAAAGAGTGGAAATTGCAAGTCAAACATAGTGCTTTGGTCATTTTAACCCCTGTTTTTGGGGTTAAACGTTTGTCTCAGATGTATGTGTGCTCATTTTACACTATTCGAGTGAGGACTTGGCCCCATCATCTCCACCAAGTGTGATTACCCTGCACTATACACTATACTATGCATTATACACATTAATTACTGCCTAGTTATTAGCCACACAGGCGCATTTTCCTGTTTTCTACTCCTTTATTTAATTTCTCTCCCCATCTTTAATGTGTGCCATTGTTCTTTCATTTCCTCTTCTTTTCATTACTCTCCCTCTCTTCTCGATCCCTCGCCTACATTTCTCTTTTCCCATTGCACCTTGCACCCCCTGCCCCCTCTCCTGGACTCTGTCTCCCTGCGATAGAGCCCTAAGATCTCATTAGCGCCCCAACTCAGACGTGTCACATTCTCACCCCAAGGCGGAGGAGGTGACGTACAACATGGAGGCCTTTCATCACCCTGCAGAGACGCGCTGCAGGTTGCCGTTCTCCAACCAAAACCAATTCAATCATTACTGTAAAGGGACGAAGCACTAAAAACTGTGATATCATCATGGACCTCTTAACTGATGGATTGAGGTCTTTAAAACATTTTTTTTTAAAGATTGGTCTGAAAGTACATTTTCATTGTCAATTTTCTGATAGATACTTTAACATTTTTAAGTCTGCATGACAAATTTCAAGGGCTTTTTTACAATACGAAAACCAAAAAATGTATATGCATTTATTGGGGCTGATGCATGCTTTAATTTGCAATTTAATGAGATGTATTTGCAGTAGCGTGTGTTGTGCTTTCTCATCTGATCTAGCGAGATGTTTGAGACAATCTTTCAGTTGCCGTAGCAACAGTGCACACACAGACACATACATATACACACACACACACACACAGTTTAATGACTCGACACAAACCATACGGACGCTTGTTATTACTCATCTTGCTTGAGTCATTATTGAAAAGAGGGTGAAAGAGAGATGAGAGGGAGAAGATGGACTTGTAATGAGGTTTATTAGTGCAACTGCCAGAGGAGGGTGCTGTTTACCTCAGAGGTGCAACAGGTTAGGGTGTCACTTGGTCACATATGTACATCTACACACTGCCTATATGGAGGGAAATGAAATGGAGGAGGCAGTATCAGCTGTGGATATGTGGGTCACCCATCTGTTAATTTAGTTTAATTTAACAGGAAATGTCAGCTCGCAGTAGCAGTGAAAGTCTCCATGATGATAGATGTTAGAAAACAAAAAACTGATGTGTGTATTCTGCTTTTATCCCTGTGTCAAGTCTCTTCCACTCACTGTCAGTGTGTACTCCAACGTGTCTTTGAAAAAATGTCAAAGCCTGCTGCTGTCTGCCATTACTGCAGCAGCCACTCCTGCCTGCCGCTTCTCAAAATATTTGATACAGAGTTGATAAGTGTAACCCAAAGCCTTGTCGCCAGACTATTCTTGCACTTTCTGACAGCTGAAAAAAGGTAAAAAATTATCCTTTTGAGACATATCTCTACAATGTCTGCACTACAATACAGTAGTTTGGTTTGATTGACATAAACAACCAATTTTGTTCCCTTTTATTTTCAAGATTGGTAAAATCACTTTATTCCACGCTGATTTTGCATCAGATGGCTCCAGCTTTTCAGTGAGTTTATATAATGTTATTACAGTTATTTGTATAGCGCTTTTAAGAACAAGACAGGAAGAAAAACCATTAAGATAAAATGTAAAAGAAACACGTGGCAATATAAAAAGACACTCATAAATATGATTTTAAAAGGTGTAAAATAAAACAGAAATGTTCAAATTTGCATTTTAAAGTTAAACATTCATGATTAAGTTCAATCCCCTTTAATGTGATTAAAAAATGACATTTTAGAGAACTACTGCAAGCAAACTATGACACTTTTTTTTATCTTGAATCCCACAACAACAAAACAGACAAGAAGACAAATATTTTTATATCTGAAAGCTCACACTGTCATGATGCTCTATCTGTATAGTAAAGACCTTCAACCAGTGCCCAACCCTCTCACACCCTCACTGGCATCTAAATAGGCACACACACACACACACACACACACACACACACTGTCTGACCCACCATGCTGGTAGGGGGAGAAGGCTGATCATATTACACACTGTTATTAATAGCCACCCTCTCCCCTATCTCATTGTAAACTAATAGCTGACATGATCTCAAACTCTCTGCGTACATCTGTCTCATTCCATGTTTCCATTTCTTCTCTCCACTTGGATAATTTCTTCTAAAGTAAACTCCACATGCATGCCTGATGTGTGTGCTTAATGACCTACATTATTCTACATGACAGCCACCATCCACAAAAACACACAGTTTATTAGCAGTATTTCCAAGTTTTTTGCAATGATCCAGTGGTTTTCTTTCAAAGCCTGATTGCAATTTGCGATTCTATCAAATTTCATCTAAAGTAAAAATGTTCAAATATTTAATTACAAAGTCTAAAACAGAATTTAAAATAACAACAACAGACAGATATTCAAGACTTCACAAGAAAATATATGAATCAGAATTTTTATTAAGAATTAAGCAGCAATATATTTTTACAAGTGTGTCCCCGTAAAGTTTCTATTGTGGCTTTGTTTGTTTACAATTTCTTGTTAACGTGTTAAAACGCACTGCCCATCAAGCTTAGGGTCAGGGTAAGACAGGTTTTGGATTAGGGGTAGAGTTGCGTGGGTCTTACTGATGGAGCAATATGAAATGGGAATGTAGTATTCACAAATAAATATCCTTAATATTTTGTAATTTTTTTGGGATAGATCCAAGAAAATGTGGACAAACACATGTCCAGCTACACTGTTAAAACAAGATACATTCATTTAACTGATTACATCAAGATGTTTAAATCACAAAAACTACATTTTTAAGGTTAAAAATATTCCTGATTAAGCCACTTTTTTACAATTTGTTTTTTACTTACAAAATTAAGTTAGTTTTACTTTTTTTTTAATTTTTGATGTAATCAATTTCAACAATTGTTTGAGTTCAATGAACTTTTCTGGTTTTACAGTGTAAGAAAAAAATAAAAATGAAAAATCAGCATTTACAATGAAAACATAATTTTTAATTTCACTGTGTCTTTAACATGATACACATCAAGCTTGGATTGCTTTAGATGCACAAACAAGTGTGTGAATGACTCTGTGACTCCATTTCTCTCAATCCATCTGTGCCCACAGAGCAGATCTACCCTCTGACCCTCTGCGTGGACATCATCTTGTCCACAGTGTTGTCCCGTGGAGAGCTTATTTTTAGCGAGAGTCTGACTTCTCTGCAAAACTTAATATGGGAATGGCATCTTGGAGCTCTTCTTTCCTCAAGCTCTCATCGTACATCCATCCATACTTTCAGTCCTCCAAGACACTGAGCTGGTATCTGTAGCTCTCCAAACACCCAACACAACCGCTGTCCCTTTTCATAGCCACTGCTTCAAACAGGTGGTCGTATGACCTAAGCATGGCTCCTCCTATGTTACCACCCCATTTGCTATTTTTCTGACCACTGCTCAGGACCCTCCCCACCCTCCTCACTGTCTGTCCTACTTTTTTGGCAGCCCCTCTGGCTTTTGCACAGCTCTTAGACGAGTAAGATCAGTGTCTCGCCTACTCACATACCGATTTTGCGTCCCCAAGAAGGGCCCCTCCCCTTTTCGTTGGCCAGTGGCGTCAGAAAAACCACGTGTACCTCTTTTTTAAAGGGAGGGTGCCACTGTCAGACCTGCTCTTCTCTAGCCGGTGGGGAAAGAAGGCAAACTTTGTTCCTAACTCTCCCTGTTTGACACCAACTTGCGTTAGGGACAACGTTAAACCACCAAAGTGTATTTTTCAGCTTCTACCCCACGTCAACAGTGAAGGCTCAGAGAAGAGGCGTTCTCGCGACCACCAGGGGACGATAGCCATGAAGTGGGGCTGGGTGTTTTTGGGGGTCTTCCTAACCTTGGGGACCCTGTCCTGGGGGGAGAAGGGCTTGGAGATCCCTGAGTATGATGGAAGAGACCGTGTCCATGACCTCAATGCCAAGAACTACAAGTCTGTCATGAAGAAGTACGATGTGATGGTGATCTACTACCACAGAAATGTGGATCGCAGCCGTAGTGCCATGAAGCAGTTTCAAATAGAGGAGCTGGCTTTGGAGGTGGGTCTCCGCCAACGCATGACAGTGGATGGATCTGTGGCCCATGTGGGGGAAGGGTCACGGTGGGAAGAGGGGAAGGAAGGTACGGGTTTCACATGGAGAATTTGGCTCCAGTTGGGGATTCCTGGATGCAGTCATGGCTTTCACACTTAGGGTTTCATATGAGCGGATTTGCGGCTGTTGACAGGTGAAGGCAAACAGAACAGGTGGAAATGATGGGGTGAGGTTGAGTTGAGGGATTCGTGGACCCTTCAGGTGTGGCATCTTGCCAAGTATGACTGGATAGATGCTGACCTGACGGAGACAGGTCGGAGAATATTGCGACAGGAGGAACAGGATGGAGGGAAGTAATGATACGGGAACTATATTCCAAGAAGTATATGTCAAATGATGGGTGAATCAACTGCTTTCTGATTGTTGATGAAGTTGTGATTGGGTTAGTTTGTCTTGACCCAAAGATGCAAAGAACACAACCTCTCCAAAATATTTGGACCATGGCTGGACAGGGCTTTTTTTATGTGTAAGGCAGCACATTTGTGTATATTGGCAATTTTTGCAACTCTCTGAAAAAGACAATCCCTCAATGTGGACAATCAGGCTCACTTCATTGATTTTCCAGATGTGTTGAGGTGAGAAAGTAGGCAAGGTTTGAACTCACTCCTTAAGGATGGCATCTGTTTGCCCTGCCTTTGAATGTGGCCATTTGGAATAGCTATAAACACTTTTGCCTTTAGATAGGACCGGATGGCCCTTTGTATGACCCAGTTTAATTTAAGCATTCATCATCCTGTTGTCACGTCATGCTAGATAGGTTAGCCCAATTCGTATAGCTACTATAGTGTCCATATGGTGAATGCTAAATAGATTTCAGAGCACAAAAAGCATTGCATCATTTTGATTGACCTATTTTGGAGTTTTATAGGTTGCCATTAAATTATTGGATTGTACAAAAAGTCTATTCAATTTCAATTACATTTTATTTGTATAGCACCAAATCATCAAACAGAAGTTATCTCAGGACACTTTTCAAGTATAGCCGGTCTTAACCATATGCCTTATCAATTTATAAACCCAAGTCAAATGACAGCTACACCAAACATACCCAATCCATTTAAGACTGCATCACTTAAAGATGTCCTTCACCCATGGCATTCAAGTAGTGTCTCAGACCAGGCCAAACCCAAAGCAAAGGCATGTTCAAAGTTCAGTTCAGTTTAATATGAAGTAGTTCACATCAATTTTCACAGTCCAAAAACATTTTTTTACATTCATTCCCTCCGATTTTTTCTTTAATGAGCTGCTTTACAAAATACTGTGAGTCTGACTTGGGTGGAGGAACGTTCCAGCTTTTGGCTCGTGGTCTTAATGATTTCTTGTGATCATTCACTTAATGAGGCTCCAACTTTCCACTGTTTTCCTCTTTCTTTAAATTAAGTTCCGCCTGGCATCGTTTGCTTGCTACCTTTCTTCATAAAGTGCTCTGTTATGTGTTTCTAGTTTATAGAGCTTTAACTCAACAGTGAGAGAGCGTTGTTATCTCTTGAGGGAGTTACAGACGATCAAGTGCACATTGATTAGTTGCAAACGGATACATTTGGTTCACCGAAAACATAAGCATGTTCAATGAACGTGTTCTTGCAATACACTGCCAGTTGGGCTGCAAATCAAACTGGGGCAAGTACATGAGTCTTTTAACAGCTAGGTGCCTTTGAGCCAGGCACTTACACTTAAATTGTTTCAGTGGTGCTGCTAATCAGTTGGCAGTAGAAGTGTGTTCTGGAAACTCTTATTGGAGAAATAAATTTAAAGGACTCTTTACCGGCCGGCCACAGTCGATGCACCTGGGCCCCACTGTCAGCCTGTGTATTCACCAAAGCAATCCCCTGCCTGTCTGAGCCACAGTGTCTTCTTACAGAGACACAGTGTACCTTACACTAGCCTCCATAAGTCACCTCTGTAAATAGCCCAGGACAGTCCTGCATGCTTAGCAAGAGGCTAAAAGCCCTCCTGGGATGGACAGAGAGTTTAGAGCCATATCTCACCTCAACTACTGCTCCCACTACTCTGTCAGCTCTCTCAGGAAACACACACTGTTCTGTTTTGTATTACTACACACCCCTCTGTGTGCAGGCTGAAGTCCTAAACCATCATTTACACACCCAAGTCATTGGATCTGATCAATTTCCTCTCAGTGCTGCCAAGTGGTGCTTCTTGGCTTAAGAAAGAGATGCTTACCGGAGCAGGTCCCTGCTGGACTATTACTCTGTTACTGACTTCCTGCCAGTTGTGACCAATCAGGAAAGAGCACAGGAGGTGCTCAGAGGGGATGCTTAAAATAGCTGGTCATTACCACTTATGAATCAGGAAGTATGAATTATTAAAGTGCAGAGCTCCGGGAGTCAGATTTAAATTGCCATTGTTTAAAGCTTGGATCATATTTATATGTACATACTGCACATTTCTGTTATTCACAAAAAACACAATGTCAGAAGATTTATTACATACATTTGCATTTGGCTGTAGCTTAATTTGAAAAAATCCATCAATGCTTGATTTCAGTTTCTGAAATAGATACTAAATTTATATATTTTTTATAACATGCTAGAGCTGACAAGTTGAAGATGCTATCCCTGTAGATGCTTCTGTTGGTTTTCACTTCTGTCAGGCACACAGGAAAGTAAATGGCCTTTCTTCATTTTTCAAACCACATCTTCCTCTTTCATTCCCAGTCTATGAATAGAAACAGAATAAGTTAAATTTAGCAAATTGGTGTAGAGAATAATCCTGTAGGCCCTGCCACAAGTAGATTAATGAGGATTAATTATTTCTTGGTGCATTATAGTTGGGCAAACCTGTTTTTCGGTCATGCTAGGCCTTTTTTTTAGGTTACAAAGCTTGTTCAAATGCTTTTGTCGACAAGTAACCTGCCAATCATAACAGAAAACTTGTTTGAGTCAAAAGTGGCAGTTCAAAAAGAGCAACATGAAGGCAATGTGACAGAAATACTGACAGCTAAAACAGGTAACAGAACCTCCCAGTGTAGCCATACTGTGACACATTAACAAACGCAGCATTTTCCACTAAAAAAGGTTGAGTGATGGAAAGAGTCATCCTGTATCTCCTAAAATATGTCCAACATGTCACCTTTGACCCCATCTTGATTTACCTTAGTCTGTGAAAAATAATACAGTGCATCTCCACCACGGGGTTATTTCTATGTTCTCAGGGTCCTATCTTCCCCAGATTTATATGGCACATATGACAAAGGGTACTTAGGATCCTGGGAACACAGATAAGCTCCCCTCACCACTATGATAGGATACAGCAACTTCCCTGTAGTGGCCAGGGGTTGTGAATATGGAATGCATTTTAATATTACATTAAAATAGTGTCAAGACAAAAGTCAAGGAGTTTACCATTTAAAGCAGATTTGTTCGAAAAGGCTGCAAACAGCAACAAGGATTCTGCTGACACAACCCTTGATAAAAACTATATAATATGTGAGTAAAACAAAATATATAGCTCATAAGGAGGAGGTTGGGTGCTTGAGGGAGCTGCAGTAGCAAACAGCGCTGGCAGTATCAGCAGAGTAATCAAAGTGTCATGTTATAATGGCCAACGTGTACACCGCCTGAATGAATATAATTGGATGTTACTAGTCAGCTGACAGCCACACAGCTGGTGAATGAGCTGATGCAAATGAGTTAACAGGAGCTCAGACTTTAGTGCTGTGTATGAACTAACACTATGCTTGAAGTGGTGGAGCAAATATAGTATTTCACCTTTACTGAATTACAAGCAAACATCCCTTTTACCACCGAGGTTTTCAAGTGACATAATCTCTTCAAACCTATGTTTTTTTGGCTTCACCAACTGGAGTTTCTTTCAATTAAATTAGATAATTTCTCCCTGCATATCAACTCTGTCTTCAAGAATGAATGAATGAATGAATGAATAGCTTTATTGTCATTGTCACAAGTACAACGAGATTACTTTGAGAAGTGGGGGAGGGGAGGAAGGGGGCAGGAACAAGAGGAGAGGAGAGGAGAAGAAGAAGTTTAGCATGTATAAGATTGGAACTTGTAAGACTGAACTTGCAGATGAGAAGTGCATGTTGACAAATGAGGCAAAAAGATAGAGAGTTTGGAAACATGTTTCTAATGTTTTAAATTTAAACATATGCGTTGACAAGTTTTCCTTTAACATTTGTTGATTAAAGAAAAAGAGAGATAATTTAATGGAGGTTGTCATGTTTGGCTTAGCAACAGGGTTTAACATAGCTCTCACCATTAATTTTTTCAGTTCCATTTAATATCGAGTAGAGTAACCACAGGTGTCTAAAATTCAATCTGTGCAAAGTGACAATAGCAATTTGTTTAATGAAGCGCATGGAAGCACATTCAGGAGGCATGATATTTGACAGTCCTGATGAGATGAAATAACCTCACCAAAGATATCTCTCATTATTATGACCAAATACTATATAGCAGAAGTCACCTAAAGATTAAAGACTAACAGGCAGAGTGCAAAACGTTCAATCATTAGCCAACGGCTGTGATTAAATGAATAACGGCTAGCACTGGTTAAACACATTCAAATTAGCCTATACAATATCGAAATATGAAAATGTATTTCATCCTAATTTTTGAGATATACTGGCACTCGGTTACACCTTTTTTGGTGGTTGGTCTGGCTGAATCTCTCTCTCACTCTCTCTCTCTCTCTCTTTCTCTCTCTCTGTCTGAACTCTAACCTTTGGCATACTGCATACTGTAAATGCCCATACTCATCAATCACTGCACTTCACACAGCTCAGATTGCAGTGACCATACCACCCCTCTCCCCCCATATACACACACACACGGTTGCTATGGCACCCTGTGTACCCACCATTCAGTAAACCAGATATAATTGATGTCATGCTGCTCTATCTGCAACACCCATAGAGACAAGAAATATAATTTACATAAAATAATGTAGAGTTACAGCTTTTAATTTTG